AATTTCTTGCCCAACTAAGGGCCTCCTTGTAATTATTCAAATTTATCTTAATAAAATAGTGTTAGGGTGCTGAGAGAGAGTAATGTTCGAAACTCTCACTCTCAAAACCTCATTGCCGAACTCTCAAGGTCTGTTTTTTTCAGTTTTCTTCATAGATTTTAGTTATACTTATAAAATGCTCTTTCTTGATCCATTAGAATTAACCTAAGTTTTAGACTTAGTGATCCTCACGTTGGGATTGATTTTTGGTGATGATTGATGATTGGAGCAATCTTGACAAGTGATGATGATTGAAAGTACATTTTCACTCTCAAAGACCATCTCTCCTAGAGTTCCAGTAATCTGAGTCTACATCACTTTTGTGGCTGCTGCTTAAACCCCCTTTAAAAGACATTTTGGAACCCTAAAGAAGAAATCAAATTGCTTTATTTCCCATTTTCCCTAATATGCAGTAAACAATAAAATTCTAATTAAAACAATAAAAAGTAAAAGATCAATTAATAAAATATTATTCAATTAAGTAATAGTAAAATGATATCTTAATAATAAAGTAATATTTCATATAATAAAATATTTATTAAAACAATGGTACCAAAATAAAAATATTTTAATATTATATATAATTGGTTTAAATTCCGTATTTTCATTAATGGTTTGGAATTCGTTCAAAATCCAATAGATAAGATTGAACTCAAATTCCTATGTAATAGGATCATATTCAAATCCAGGTATGTTCGATATGAATCTGATTTTGTTTAAGCTCTAAACAAACATGGTTTTTCCCTTTCTTTCTCGCATCAAAATGAAATCCATGCAGGCAATCTAAGAAAGACACATGGTGTCATCATGTTCATCCTTTCTATTCCAAATTATTCACACCAGTCAGGTGCTTGGTTTTTGATGAATCTAAAAGATGTTTCACAGTGAAACATCTTAAGCGATATGACTTATTTAACCCTGGATAAGGGAGTTGTTGGCATCTAGACATTTAGTGGATTCTGATCTAAAGGGAGTCGTGCTTTATTTCTAATACATGGTAGAGATGGTGTCCTGTAAATACCATTCGGACGGTCAGGAATGTCTTTCAGTTTGCATTCAATATCTTTGTGATGGATAGTGAAAATTTCCATTGCATCTCTAAATCTCCACCTTTCATGGAGGGTTGAGTGATGTCCACACGTAACACCACTTGACAAAAAAATACAGAGAGAAAAAAAGTAAGAGACATTACTGAGTTTGTAAGGATATTTATTGGAAAAATAAAAGTTCGACTGTTGAAGAAAAAAAACGTGAAACTCTCTTTTTATATGGTAGATAGATATAAATGATTCATTTAAAATCGAAAAGAGAAAAGGGGCAACCAAAACCATTAAGGTGGTCCATTCAGCAAGTCAAACTCAAATAAATAATGAAAAAGCAGTAAATTAACAAAGGGTTGAGCATCCTCATGATCCTCAGAAGTGCAGACCTGTGGCAGGCAATACCAACCGCAAATCACCTCCCACTGCAATTATGAATCGAGTTACCATCAATTACAAGCTATAACCATAGGGCATAGACTAACCAGGATTGAAGGTTCCACAGACAACAAGCTTGCTTCGGAATTTGATCCTCATGAGCCCTGGCATTACCATGGAGATACCCTTTTTGTTCTTCCTTATTTCTTGATTTTTCCTCAATCCATTAAGAGTGAACCTGGTTTGTGCAACTTAGCTGTACATTCCATAGTTTATATTGACTTTACCCTGATTGTCAGATGGTTTAATTTATAATTATTGCCTCTGGAACATTGGCCACATTCTTCAGGTAACCTAATCTTTTGTGAGGGTGATTAACTTATTACAAATCAATGTACCAATATGAGTTAGCTATGTCCTTGGAAAGTGTATCTTTTTAAAGAAGGTTCAATGTCATTTCATATATAGACCTGACTCCTCTCTGGAATACGAAGCCCAATAGCTTGACTCCTCTCTGGAATACGAAGCCCAATAGCTAGCATACTCATATTGTTAATGGATGTTTCTTAAGGTTGTTGATCTGTGAAGAATAATGGATAACATAGACAAGATTCTTATGCTCTTCTTTTACAACTAATTTTCTGTATCTAAATATAAAGTTTTGCTGTATAAAGCTCTTACATTCCTTCCATTTAATTCTCTTTTTTCATTAATCAATTTTTCCTTTACACTTACTCAAATGATTGTTTATAGGAGGGAAATGAACCACTGCTATCTGCTGCATTGGACTTCAAAGCAATGCTTGAAGCGGCACTCCTTAGCACCTATAAATTCTGTATGCCTCAGTTCTTGGTTTCAATTGTTTTTTTTTTTTTTTTTTTTTTTTTGCTTTTTGGTTTTGGTAAGCACGTCTATAAGTGTTTTGCTCTGTGAATGGAAATGTTTTAACTGATTATATATATTCTTCAGTTTCTCCATTTTGTATAATGCACTTTTTTTTCATAGGTAAGGTATAATTGTTTCAGTGGAAAAAGTATGGGAGATTGGGAGCGACATGGGCCCTGTAGCTCTCTCTATGAAACATTTTTGGCCTTTACTATTCATCATTAAAAAGATGCTGTTCTAATTATTACAGAAATTGTTGAAATTTAAGTGCCAAAACTCTTCGAAGATTGAAGCTCAAAAGTAAATAAACCCTTCAAAGGAATATGCAAGCAAATATCTGCAAGTCAAGTAAGCTTGTCTTCTTGCATGATACTATTCTGAGGCAATACTGGCTATGAAGGGCATCGTCATTGCAACTACCACTGCTAGTAGAAAGAATGGAGAGGTTTTATGTACTTAAATAGAATAAGAAAACAATTTTGCTTTGGAAGTTTCTAATATAGCACCCCCCCTCTAGTGACCAATAATCATGGCGGAAGGATGTTATATTCCTTACTAGAGAAAACTATTTATAAATGTTTTCTTCTTGGAAAGAATGGAGAGGGTTTATGTAGTTAAATAGAATAAGAGAACAATTTTTCTTTAGAAGTTTCTAATATAGCAGCACCCCCTCCAGTGACTAATAATCATGGCAGAAGGATGCTATATTCCTTACTAGAGAAAACTATTTATAAATGTTTTCTTCTTGGAAAGTTTATATGCAATCACTCTGTTTTGTACACAAATTTCATTTGCTAGTTTACTAGGGTAGTCTTCTAAACACATGTTAGGCAGTTAGGCAGGCCTTCTGAATATATACTCGTAATACCAAGAAAGGAAAACAACCAAGTTACTTCTTAAAAGAAAGGGGAACCATTAATTTAGGGCGTGAACAATATGGTGTTTGATCTTGTCAATCTTCTTCTTTATGGATTATTGTTGTTTTGACTTAGATGGTAAAGGGTGCTTTTGACTTGTTATTGCATCTTTGTAGTTTGTATCCATGGCATTGTTGTCATCATAACCATCACTTTTTGTCCTTTCTATCTATCTTTGCAAACTAATTTGATCTGTGAGCACTGCATGGATTATTTAGCCTGCAAACTGGATAAGCATTTGGATGCTCATTGAGTTCCAATCTACATTGCTACTTAGGCTATTTATTTTATTCTTTTTAATTTGATCTTGTTTTATTTATACTATCATCAACTCAGAAGGTTAATGGACTTCAATAATGTAATCTATGACTGTAATGTTGGTGACTATTGTATTACCATGAAAGTATTTATATGCATGTATACTTATTCATACATGTTCTGTAGCTTATCACCATTGTATGTCAGGCATGATATTTCCACCTTTTGCTTTTCAGATGACGAGGAAGGTCCGTCTGTATCTGATCCTGTCCATGGTTATAGTAACACCAATGAGAAAATTCATGCAAAGCTGGTCTGTTTGCTTAGCTTCTCAATGATAATGGAGCCATTAGATCACTTTTTGCATGGTTTTATTGTGTCAGTGAAATAGTAGCAAATGTTGAAACTGACTTTATTTCAAATGATTTGAAATTTTCAGTTCTTGGAGGTACCAGAACGTTGTAGTTAATTCTAAGAAAATTGGGAGCAATAGATGTTTCATACAAATGTAGCATATATTAGATGTAAACAACCCATTGTATACTGGTAACCTCACAAAGAAAAAGAAATTTATTACACATATTTAACAAATTCATTAAACATATCTAATAAATAATGCAGGATGAAATTTGGGAATTGGCTAATAGAGTGGCATCCTTGAGAAAAATTTGTGAAGTTGGTAATTGTATTTGTCCATTTTATCTTCTTGATCAATTTTGTGCAAACCTAATATGCTAATTTCTACCAGTATCAGAGTGAACTACAGTCATAGGCACCACATCTAAATCAAAGCCCAGATCCTCAAAGCTGATATGGCAAAGCCTTTTCTTTTTATGTCAAGGCTACCTTTTTTATATTTGAATATCTAATCTAAGTTTCAGTTTCTGGTTACTTGGTGTAGAATGCTCCTATTTTCCCATATTTCAGAAAATGACATTTTTCTACAGGATCATGAGGATTCTACAACACTGGATTCTGTTGATATTGCTAATTCTCGGAATGCTACTGGAATTATGAGTACCATTGTACCTGCCACTGCAGAAAAGATCATTTCTAATCAAGATTTGGTCACCCAATCCCGTGATATTTGTTCTACATTAATTTCCAGAAGCCTTTTTGATGCTGAAGAAGAATCATCTACATTTCTTTCTTCTGGTCCTGAGACTTTAATTGGTGGTAATAAGGCAGAAACTATATACAATCCCACACCAGAGGCTGATGATGCTATTTCAAAAGGTGCTGTTTCTCAGACTGCAGAATTTCCCAATTGTTCATTATCTAAGCCTGATGCTGGAGATGTAGATGCTATCCCTTTACCTTCTAGATCTGAAGGATTTATTTCCCATGTCCCTGAGGATGGGAAGTCAGCTGGTGCAGATTCAGTGATCCTAAAGAATGGAGAGGAACATGAAGGCCATTCAGACTCCTCTAGTAAGTTTCTGAAATTGTCGCCAATTTTTTATGTTAAAAGTTTCTTCTGACCGAACAGTTGAAGGGTCTTTACGAATTCCTGTGGATTAATTTGCAATTGGTGTTCTTCCAGATTCAGTTCATTTCACATCTGAAGATGTGACCAAGAGTTTAGAAAGACGTGAGTTTGTGTCTAGTTCCTTGAATACTTCTCATAATATAATTGGTGATTGTAAGCCACATTCTTCAAGACTTCAACAGTCAGATGTCCTTATTGATGTTAAGAGAGGGAAGAGCCCATTGAAGGGGTAGAACCTTCTAAGGAGATTGAAGAAAGCAATGATCTTCAATTTCTGTCTCATAAAGAGAGGTCTGTCCTTTAACCTTTTAATACTTACATGTGTGTCCTGTGCATTCTTGTTAATCTGTTACAACTGAAAAACATAGTTCTTGTTATTCATTTATGATTACATACATCTAAACACCCTTTTTGTTTACAGAGAAATTAATGCCTTTCTAGAGAGTAGTTTTGTATACTTAATCTTACTTTCTTCTTCACTTTGGCTAAATTTCCAGTTGAAGGCTTGAGTTAGTGCTGAAACATTTCTCAGATGTGTAGAAAATGCAATTTACATCAACAGCCTCAAATACAAGAGAGAATTGATGAAGGTGGACTAAGCTTACATTTTCTCTTTATGATGAAAGAATACAGTTATTCTGCAAAGAGGTAATGGTAATGTTATGTTCTTGCCACTCCCATTGAGTGTCATTCAATCACTAATACATGATTAAGGTAGTCCTTTAGGTCTTGTTTGTTTGCAGTGCAATTTCATTTATACTGATGCAAAAGTATGGGAATGCAAATGAGTTGAGTCCAAATTTTGGTTTACTTTTGTTTTATGGGTTTTATTTTGTTTTGTTTATTCACAATGCAGATGAAGCAAAATAGAACCTGAAGCAAAATAAAGTAAAACTGGAAGTAAAAGTGAACCAAAATTTATAATTTTCTCATTACACTCCCATGCATTTGTACTAGTGCAAATAAAATTGCAGTGCAAAACAAATAGAGCCAGTATTTTTTTTGGTGCAATTCTAATGACTAGTGTGCAACTTGACAACTATATCATTTCCATAAATTAACAAATTCTTGTTTGATTTCTTTATTGCTGTATCTTTTTGGATGTTTTAGGGGTACTAATTGAGACAAGGGAAAGTCTTCTTTAACCAAAGAGAAGAAAGATGGTCCATCACTGGAATTTTGGCATGTAATGGTAAAAGCTTGGTGATTACATTGCTGCTGAATGTTGACAGTGTTGATAAACAGGGCTGCTTACTGGAATCTATTCAAGTGATCTAGAAATAGTGGATTTTGATTTTATTGCTCAAGCATCTAAGTATTGTTCTCTGTTTCTAATCTTGGACATGTGGAGTGGAGTGTACTTGTTTTGGATGGCTTGTGGTCTGGATGTAATTAGAAACCTAAATCTGAATGTAGAGACCGTTTTTTTTTTTTTTTGCTACAAATGTAGAGAGCAATTGAACAGAGATAAATCTGATTTCACTGGTATATCTTGTGATGACCATGTTTATATACTAATGCATATTAGGATTAGTGCTACTAGAAAAAGAGAGGTGGGTGCGGTACTCACCATTTGAGCAGAGTCGAGCCAGGTAGCCATATAAGTGCTAATAGTTGAGCCCTTACCGAATTTACCATCCTGAAATCAAGATATTGCCTTCTTGACCTTTAAAGCCACACCTGATTGCCCCGGATTTCCTATAGAGCTACCATCGAAATCAAGTTTAATAATTTGTGCTTATTATGTCCATTGTTCATTGGTGAGTTGTTAAAGAAAAAGGGTGCTTTCACATGGACTTTCCTATAATGAATTTGATTTCATTGCAGTGAAATGTGGCTTCTATATCAACCATTAAGAATGACGGGGACAAAACCTTGTACCATGTACTCAACAATGACAATACATCTTGTTCCCTGATATATAATGTTCCTGAATGTTCTTGTACTACATATTGGTTTGATTTGGAGTAATCCCTTAAACTTTCTCTTGTTGGAGTTGGATTTTTATACTATTACAAGTGAACTTTTATCATATTCGATTCCTTTGCTGTTTCTCACCTAGTTGATTTGTCGCTATTTGCAACAATCTTTTAGTACATAATTCATAAATTTGGACTGCATCGAGGTATTGATGCAGTTGAATCCTTAATCATCAAACTTGCTCAGTGGAAAAGGGCTGCACGCCAATGAACGTTTTGATAGGAAGCAAGCTAATGTAATCATTTTTTTCTTTAGTCCAAATTTTTCTATATTCATAGATCTGATTGCACCTTTCAGTTGGCTTCATTCTCATTTATCCTTCCAAGACTCAAGTGTGCTTGCAGTGCAATTTCATTTGCACTGGTGCAAAAGTAAAACAAAACCTGAAGCGAAGTAAAACCCAATGCAAAAGTGAACCAGAACTTGCAATCTGAATCTGTGTATTTGTCCTCTCATGGATTTGTATTAATGCCAATGAAATTGCACTGTAAACAAATGGATTAGGAAGTGTTGTAAAGTTGAAATATTGGGATTGGCCCGAGCAGAAAGAACAAATCAATTGGTGTGCTGCTGATTATTTATTTATTTTTTACTCCTTCAGAGTTCAGATAAATCATTCATTTAACTGTCTCATAAATAATACAACACTAGTGCAAAGCAAGGTTTTAAATTTCGACCCGGAAACAGAACCGTTTTGGGCACCGTTTTTTGATTATGCGGTTCAACTGTCCAGGTCAAACGGTTCGACTCATGACGCCATGGCTTCATAAATAAATTAAAAAAAAACAAAAAAGTATTTATATATAATAAAAAATACCATAAAAATTAAATAAAATATATAGGAATAAGAAATCGTAGTATTGCAAGAAAGACCAGAAAAATATAGTGGTTTTTGGCTTCAATGGAGTGGTCGCCAACGCAAATAGTGGTTCTTGATGCAAGAAATTGTTGTATTGTAAAAAAAATGGAAATGAGTTAATGGCTTAATGCGTAGAGTTTGGTGGTTCCTGATGTAAAATTGGAAAACAGGGATCAAATGAGAGAAAAAGAAAAAAAAAACACAATCACATGCAAGTTTTTTACCTTATAGTCGCTGTTATACTCCTTCCAGAGTGGTCGTAGGCAGCCACAGTGAAGATTGGTCATCGGAGGTTGGATGTCCACAGTGATCGCCACCCTTCTCTTGAAGAGATGCCGTTCCTTTCAAGAGATTAGAGATGTTTGGAAACAGAGTGTTCCATTGTGTTCGCCGGCTGCCGCTGCAAATTTTGATCGCCGGCGGGTGGTTCAAACTTCGGGAAGGCAGGTGTCCGTGTGCCGCCGTCGTCTTCTTTGGTGAAGTTGGTGAAGATGTTGGGTTTTTAGTTTTGGCAAAACAAAACCTATAGAGAAGAATCGATCGAATGTTTAGAAGTTGGGATATGTTTGTCATTTTTGTTATATTTTTATTTTAAAATAAAATAATAAATCAAAATAAATATAAATGCCTAACCGCTAACTGTTGACCGGGTTGAATGAGTCGACGGTTCAATTGTTTAGGTCAATGGTTTTTTTTGACCATTTCAATGGTTCAGGGTAAAATAGGAACCGTTCGAGTGATCAGTTTACGGTTCAACCATTTAGGTCAATGATGGTTCGAAAACGTTGGTGCAAAGCATCAATCAGAAAAGAGGGTGCGACAAGTTACCACGTTGTGGAGTAGATTTGAACGAACAGTGGCCTGCGGGCCATACCGCCCTCCCCTGGGATAACTTGGGGGGTCAGCCCAGTATAGCCCACGGTCCAAGCCCGTGTCGGCCCATGCTATGCCGCAGGTTGGGTTGGTCCATGGGCCAAGCCTTGGACTAGGCTGGGCCATAGACTGAGCTGAATCTATTTATTTAAAAAATTTTTAAAAATTAAAATTTTAATTTTATATGAATTTTGATGTATACAATTCCTTATATATAATAATTAAATAAACTAATATAATAAAATTAAAAACAATTGTTTATTTTATTAATATATTATATACTATATACTATTATATAATTATAATTTATATAAATATATATATATATATATATAATATAAATAATATATACTATATACTAAAACCTCAGGCCCAACATTTTTTCTATGCTTTCATATTCACCACAAATAAACCACTCCAATCTAGATTCTACGTGGTAAGAGTTTCTGTCTCTACGTAACTTTCCAACCACATTGGATGAAATTGAATTGAAGATGACACCCATGACATGAGGAGTCGATAAACAGATTTGGTATAAAATCGTCCAGAAGCTGATAACAACCCACGAAGTTAATTTGTCTTGACCTTCTACATGGCTGATACCAGTCTGACTAACTATCAAATCTGCAACGCTCATTTTCCAATTCCAACCATTAGAGCTAAGAGGAGGATGTTTCTCATCAGATCACAAGTGGCTTTGTTTTTAGCTAAGCCAGTAACACGTGTATCTATTTGTACATGCCAGAGATGGATATTGAGGATAGACGGAAACAAATGGACTAAAATTTTAGGATGGTCGTTGTCTTGACGTGAGACCAACGTTGTTTCAGGAGGAAGAGAGAAAATCGGCAACGGGCATGGTGATAGGACGGAGAGAATCAGAGAACAGAGAACAGAGAACGGAAAAGAGATGGGGTTCTGGGATACAGTGTACCTCGTGACCGGTAAAATCAAGCGAAACGGCCCCGATTTGACTCCCGCTACCAACGCATGTCGGACTTCGTATGATGCGGCTAGTGCTACCGTCCAAAAGATCGATAAGACCGTGAGAGTTGAAGGAGTTCAGAAGCTCAAGGATAACCTCTCGGATTCTGAAGGTCGGGAGAAAATTGGTCGTTCTTTGATGAACTTGGCCGAAAGTCCAGCCGGCGAAGAGGCGTCCAAGCTCGTCCCAGGTCTGCTTTTCATTTTTCATCTTTCCCCCCTTAATTCTGAATTGAATACTACTGCCATTGAGTGCCTCCCAGCAACAGCAAGGGCGATATAACAGATACAATGTTGAATTTACATTATCTTTACGCCTGAATTGATTAGCAGACAGGGTGTTAATTAGCTGAAACCAAAGCGGTTAAAAGCGCAAACGATTTCTTCAGACTTCTTCCGTGTTCAGTTCAATAATCAAATTGCCATTTGTCCCCTTCAAAACTTTGAAACTATACTTATATTAGTGCATATATGAACTTGTAGATACATTCATCTTTGTTTGTGCAGCTATAGGCGAACATGTAAAGAGTTCTTTTTTTTTTTATAGGATATAAGGCACAAAAGATAAGCCCAGTTCGTGATTCCTGAATCTTGATAAAATGCTGGATTAAGGCACAACATTTTCATGATCAAAGGATTCAAAAGTTTTCTTGGTTCATCAGACAGCTTCTAAATACAATCTGGAATCTGGATGATAAGTGAGAACTGCCAAGTATTGGATAGCGATACTAGGCCTTTAGAACTTTACCCAAGTTTAGGGTCAGTTCGACTCAACAATGCCTTACTCCAACTAACTACTACATGAATCCTATTTTGCAGAGTTGGTTAGTTCTGGATTTGATGTCAGCTTGAATAAATAAATTATAGGGAAGAACAGTTGTTCTTTTGTTGAGATCATTCTACAGTTTGTAGTCTTACTCTGTAACATGTTCTCAGTGCTTGGCTGATCCAAACTATTCAACCTGATAGATTTTTCACTTTATTCTTATCAAACATTACTGCCTTGTATACTGTATTTTGGTGATTGATTTTTCACTTTGATCTGGTTGGGCCACTTACATACACTCTGGGATGTGGAATTGTTTGAAATCTATGGCTTGCTTCACTGAATTCACTATTTCATGTTTTTTCCCTTGGTATTTCACTCAATTTGAATGGCAAAGAGAAAGGCTATTTTTGGACTCTCTGGTACAGAATACCATTTTTTTTTGTCTTGGCTTTTTATTATGTGTAATTTTTAAGCAACTAGTTAAATTTCATTTGGTTAAACAGATCTTTCAGCTGAAACTATGAGCATATTTTTGGTTTCTAAAAAGGGCAGTCCAGTGTAGGAGGCTTTCGCCAACGCAGGGTATAGGGTCTGGGGAGGGACAGGTGTATGCAGCCTTACCCCTGCACATACAGAGAGGCTGTTTCCATGATTTGAGACCTGGTCACCCAGGTTGCAATGGAGTAACCCAACCATTGCACCAAGGCCTACCCTCTGGAAGAGAGGAAAGTAGTTCCGGTTTTAGCATTTATTGTAGTTTTTGACAATGGTACTGTTTCTCAGTAATTACATGGATATTGTAATGGATTATATGTAAAGGATTTACTTTCTATCATAGTCCTTCATGTTCTTAACAATTCAAATGCTAGGAAATGATTTATGAAGTACTCCTTCCCCTCAAAACTCAAACCATGGCGAGAACTTGAGGCCTAATTCAAAGATTCAACAAGGAAAACGTTATTGTCTTTGTTGTTGTAGACTTGTTAACTTGTTTTAATTTCTTGATTTTCTTCTTTCTACCGTATTGGGTGTTTTTGCTCTTATTTATTCTCAATTTTGCATATACTTAGGTGGGCCTCTAATATATAAAATCTGGAGATGGTTTAAGGATGAACCTCCTTCCCTCTCGGGCAGTGACGAGAAAAAATCTGAAAATTCTACAGAAGAGATGAAGGAGAAGAGAATCGAACCAACAGAACAAGACCCGAAGGTCAATGATGAGAAAATTGTGACCCGGTCCCGGTTATAGAAATTGGTTTTCAGCTCAGTAAGGTGACAGGCGAAACTAGTTTATGATTCAAGGGTAATACCATTTTCACGCCCCTAATTTGTAAGATATGCTGGTCTTGCTTCATAATTTTTTTTTGGGCATAAACAAATAAAGCTAAAAAGAGCCCTAAAATGTTAATTTTGAAGATTCCAGCAATCTGAGAATGATCCATCTTATATTTCTTTTGAGTGAATTGCCATGAGTAATGGTTGTGTTGGTTTTGCAGGGTATTACCGTTGCAGTATTCTGGCATCATTAAGCAAAGCAAGTCTACTACCACCACCATCATCATCATCCAACCTAGTCCCAAATATATGGGGTGGGCTAGATGAATCCTGTTTCATCATTCCATTCTTATTATAAAGCTCTTTTCTTAACCTATATAGCAGGAATGCCGAGCTGCTTCCAGGATAAAAACTACATGCCTTTGATGTACCATGTCATACTGCTCGATTAGTTCAAAAATTCAAACCGGGCATTCATGGCAGTAATAGCTATAGCAGCTCCTTCCATTGCTTCTATAGAATATATATAGAACAATGCTACATCACCCAAAATCCATGCAGAAGAAAAACAGTTGCAATCATGTTTAGAGCCGATTTTTATAATTGATGAATGATCTCATCTTTATGGAATCCCATACAAGATTTGAAGTATTGGTTTTTTTTTGGACATATCGATAGAAGGCACAAGTGGAATGGCTCAAAAGCGGCTACACAAGATGGGGGTATAAAGTTAGAAAAGTAAGGTCCCACCGAGATTTGAACTCGGGTTACTGGATTCAGAGTCCAATGTCCTGACCACTAGACCATGGGACCTTTGGCTGCATTCCTTGTCGACATCACAATCCACACGACTTACTCAGTTTTGCTTTGAAATGTTGAATCCTGTTTCCCTTCTCTCTCTTTTCTTCTTCTTCTTCTTTCTCCTCCGCCACAAACACCACTGAATGAGAGCAACGTCTCCCCTCTTCTTCTTCCTCTTTTCTCTTTTCTTTCCTCTGAACAAAATCTATACTCTACATTTCCCTTGTAGATAGATGGTTAACCATCCAGGTTCAATTGTCTCTGTTAGGAGCAGATCCGATAGACGTATTTCTAAGAATTGCTCCACCTCTTTGTTGGTTGTTGGAGAACAAAGATTTAGGGCTTTGAAAAAAAAAAAAGTGAAAGACTTAAACATATCCTGAGTTTTCATAAATTGGTTATCCTATATTTTTCAAATAGACTCAAATATACCTTGGGGTTGATTCCATTGGACTTAAAAGATGTCTTTCATTACTAAAATGTTAAGAACGGTTATGTGATGTGATATTAGCTATTTAATTTTTAAAAACTCTATTTTACCCCTTTATGCTCTGTTCTAATAACTTGTGTAAATCAAACTGGATTGAAATAAAAACAGGGGTAAATTACAGGGACAGGCTAGCATTTGCTGGGAGCATGTACCAAACATGTTTTAACCAATGCCATCTATATTGCCAAAGGATGGTGATGATGGACCAAATTACTTGTCACCATTTACCAACCACCAACGAATGTGATTTTCTTGGGAACTAGAAATGTCTTGTTCCCTTTTCTTTTTAAATTTCTGGGAATTAAGATTGAAGATTGGTCGTGGGTGTGAGTCATTCAAGTTCAACGGTGGAGAGTCTTACAAGATTTTTAATAGATTTTCATTATTGTAGTCTATTCGCTGTAAGCATCAAACAAGATTTGGTAGTTCCTTTGTGAGATTCATCCCTTGGATTATTTGGGTGGAAGATCAATTTGTTTAATTCTTGTCGTCTCGGTAAGAACTAATCTGTTTGACTTTAAAGCCACTCCATGTTTTATAACCAAGTAATTGAATTGTCTTTGAAGATTTTAGAACTTCTGAAAATCAATTTACTTCTCCAAATTACTGCTACCAAGGATTCTGATAGCTCCTACAAAAAGTGAAAGCTTAGCAACATATTGTTTTTCTGCTGTTAGAAATTTGAAGTAAAAGGGTTGTTTATTAATTTAAGGGCAAATTTCTTAAACTACCCTAACGTTTAGGAAATTGAGTAATTATATCTATACTGTTTTAGATTGTTTTGTCCATCATTCTTCTTTAAATTTTCAAAATGAAACTTTTGACACTTCATTGAAAGTGAGAACTTCATACAAAACTCGTTTGAAGATGTCAGAGACGATGGACCAATTCAAATAAAACTCATCTCCAAGGTTCAAAGTATCGATATGCCTGATACCAAAACCAGTTCAAGGGGGCCGGTTTAAGGCTCCTCCACCCCCTGAACCGGTCAGAACCCTGATACACCCTCTGTAGGGGTGTATTGGGGAGCTCCTGAAATGATACGTATCGGTCGATACGTGTCAATACTTTGAGCCTTGTCTCTTGCGATTGGGAACCTTCAGAAGATGTCGGAAACCATGGTTTTAAAAAATGACCCAGAAATAGAACCGTTTTGGCCACCAGTTTTCGGGTTGAGAGTTCAACCATCTGGTTCAAATGGATGATCCGTTTTGAGTTTTGACAACAAAAATTAAAAAAAATAAAAATAAAAAACAGTCAAAAACCATTGAACGGGTTGACAGTTCGACCACCCAGGTCAACGGGTCGTTGACCGGTTCAATGATTTTGGCCAGAAACCGGGTTTGGGGTAAAACGGAATCGGTTGCCTAAACGGTTTTCAGGCTGAACAGTCCGACCGTCCGGATCAATGGCGGTTCGAAACCATGTTGGAAACAAAGGCTGGAAGAAGAATGATGGAATCGTGGTATGGAGTTGCAGTTTCGGCTGTGTATAGAGTGGTACTACCAAGTGATGGAACTATGGTTGCAATGAAGTGAATAGCAGAGAAAGGAGAGCGGTTTTGGCCATGTGTATAGAGCAGTGCTACCAAGTGATGGAACTGTGGTTGCAATGAAGTGCGTGGCAGAGAAAGGGGTGCGGTTTGAGAAGACATTTGCAGTAGAGCTGGTGGCAGTGGCTCAACTCTAGCGTTGGAATCTTGTCCGATTTAAGGGATCAACTCCAACACTGGAATCTTGTCAAACTCAGGGGATCAACTCCGGCTCAGGGGATTAACACTGAAATCTTGTCTGGCTCAGGGGAGCAGTGGTCAATACAAGGCAATTAATGATGAGGGGATGCCTCACCACCAGAGGCCTTTCATGAAGGGCTGGCTGTACATCGAGTTCCATGTGGAGTTCTAGATTCTGGTGTTCTTTCTCCATATCAGTGTCGCACCTTGGAGACAATCCTGCCCACTAAAAAAACAGTCATTTGGTTGGGCATTTTCGAAATACCAAAAATGGCAGCCACCATCTATGATGTCGCAATGTTACGGCTTTGAGGGCGGTTGGCGAAGCTCAACTGCTCAACTGTTCATTTCAGGGGGGTCAGGGGTCAGCGTTACAGCTTCCAACGGAATCAATGACCACCCCTGATCCCTGATCCCCCTGAAATGAATCTCTCTATCTCTCTCTATTGGGATTTTTCTTGAGCTTTGCGAGAGCTTTAATGGCAAATTCTTGCTGCCAATGAACAGGGTCCACATCGGCGATCTTGTGAATACGGCCCATGACGTTGGAATGCTTATTGGAAGCTTCCTGGCAGAGATCGATGAGTTGATGATCTTTGGAGAATAACTATACCTTATCAATGCTTGCTGGTGGCGATGACAAGGAAGACTAAGAGAAGATCACCACCGAGGATTTGTTGTTCTCATTGGATGACGATGAGCAATGGCCAAAAAAATGGAAGAAAAGAAAAATGGAAAGGAAAAGGGGAATATAGGGAAGGGGGGAGAGAGAGAGGATGGAAGGTTAGCTGCTGGTTTGAGTGGAGAAGACGGTGATCTTTGCCAGAAAGCAGCTAGAAGATGGCTAAACCATCGTTGACTACAACATCTAGAAATAGTCTACATTGCATTGGTTCGGAAGGTTCATGGAGGAATTATCAAGCATTCTTTGATGGCTTTGGCTCGGAAATACAATCAGGACAAGATGATTTGCAAGAAATGTTATGCATTCTAGATGAAGGGTGATTTTGGGTATAGTAATTGTTGAAGGGTATTTTGGGTATTGATGAAGGGTGATTTGGCCTGACCTCGTAACAGGGGGACACGTGGACACGACTTGACTAACAGATGACAGATCAGCATGATCAGCCCACAACATAATGGTCTTGTGTACCCATCTACCCCGGGCTAAAGTGACCTCGAGATAGGGTCACTCCGAAATGAGATCGCCTCGGTACTAGATCGCAACAAGAACACTTAGATGTCAAGGCACTTCGACATTCAGTCCAGTTCGGGACTTAAAGGCGTTAGCTCGGGGATACCGACGTGCTATTGTGAGGATCCCGAAAATCCCTCCGACGGTTCCTGGACTTCATGGGATCATGCCGCGTAACAACCAACGTTATCTCCCCCGACCGATTCGGACGAACTCGATAAACCTTATCAGTTAGCAACACTATCTCCCATTATCGCGGAAACGGATCTCATCGTGACGAGGATTCCGAAACTACTCCGCGAAACCCGCGAGGACTCCATTATATAAAGGCTCCACCCCCAGGGGTGCAAGGTATGTGTGATTTCCTGCTCTCAAGCTCTCTCATTTTCAAGCAAATTCAGCTCGTTATTAGCCTACTAACTTAAGCATCGAAGCGACCTCGCCGAATTAGCATCCCAGGGTTCTCTGATATCCTTGCAGGTTCAGTCCGCCGTCCGTCTGAAAGTCAAATCACCTCCAGCTGGGAGCAGTCAGATCGTACTAAATCAGATATAATTTAAAATTAAATCAAAGATGTAAAGTCATGTTTAAACGGCCTGTGATAGAGACTTAACAGGAAGGGAGTTGTGCGACAATTATCAGAAATAGTAAGGATACTTTAAGACAACACTGAAACAATAGGAGTATAGTTAGTCAATTTCATAAACGTTAGGGATAGTTTAAGAAATTTGCCCATAATTTAACAAAAAGAAAAGCAGTGCTGGCCATTGCCATGAATCAACAACCAGGACAGTCGATTTGCCTCTATTCTTCCATTTTAATCAAATCCCAATTTACGTGCAGGCATATGAAGTTAAGGTTAAATTATTATATGAAAAAAATACTTGCCTGGATCTCTCACTACCGTATTATAAACTTTAACACAATATCCATTCAGGGTCTAATAAATAGTTGATGATTGGTTTTCTATTTTTAAGAAAGTAGGGTTTGCAGGGTGGTGTCTCAATGTAGAACACAACCTGTTTCACCTCTTAACAAAGAGTGTAACTGTCTTTTTGTTCAAACTGTCAAAGGTAAAGGTGGAAATGTATATTTAAGTCTAATTGCAAAACCCAGGGTATGTATAAGTAGTTTATAAAAACTCATGGTATTTCTAAGCCTTTTATCCACAAAAATATCGATAATTGTTCTACTTGGACTCTTGGGATTAACCCTGACTGTTTGTTAAAAGTTTCAATATATACACAGTGCATAAGCTCTTGAAATCAAAATATTACAAAAAAGACTAGATGTTTTCTGGTGGCATTTGATGTTTTACAATTGATGAATAGTATCAGTCGTTGAACTTTTGAGAGGGAAGCAGAGGGAGGTGGAGTGTGAGAGGAAGCTTAAGAAAACAACGATCGTAAGCT